TAAGTTATAAAATGCATACTAATGTTAACGATTCTTTGATGTCCAGGCTAGAACGTATTCGTTGCACTATATAGGATGAACATGCATAGGAATTTTCATTTATGATGAGTAATTGTGATTGAAGTGAGAAAATGTTGGCAATTATCCAACTTTATGAGGTTCGATCATGACAAGTTTAGTTATGCATATGTTGCATGCAATGGTTCATTTTAAAGACTAAAGTTGACGCTTGAACTGTTGTCATGTTCTGTGTACATAGTTGTAATAGGCCGCCCTTTAGCGACCAATTTTTATTTTGGGACAAGAATCATTATTAATTCAATGGTTGAAGAGATCATCCTCCATTTAAAAAATGGTATACACATGTTAATATATATGAAAATGGTGAAATATAAGAGGCTACTCCATTATCTTTTGCAATGGTATAGTGCATCTGAAATTCTATGAATAGTTGTGGAACCAAAGATATTTGCAGATAATGAATGTCAAAAAAATGGATCTCACTCTGGAAATTTTTTCCCATGGGTGCCAAAGGATGTTGGCCATTAATCTTAGTTATCTTTTGGAGGTAATAAATTTGTTCTTATTAATATTACTTTCATATGATTGTCATTAATTATGATCTTTTGTTGTTCTTTGGAAACTAAGTTGGTTTTGGTTTTTTTTTTTTGGGGGGGGGGGGATGGGATCACCTTTATTCAGAATGAACAACATTGGATCTATGTTTCCTGTAGAATATGTAATCGTGTTGTAGAATATGATGTCATTGATGGTTACAACATCAGGGAAAGTAAATATTGGGAGTTTCAAAGTGCAAAACATCAAGGTTTGGTTATGAGTACATGTTACAGTGCTTCTCATTTTTAGTATACACCTCATTTTGTAATCATTAACTTATATTAAAGGTTGGTGTTACCTGTTGTACATGTGAGATTCAGGTCTATTTTAAGGAGATCTCTGGGGTTATTTTAATATCTTTGATTTAAGATGCTATACACTTGTTAAGGAAGGTGCGACTATGTGACAACCCGAAACTTCAATCTTGTACAATTAATCAATTTAATCAATATTCAACTTGTTTTGTTGATTTCTAGTACTATTCAAGGGTTCGTTTAAGTAATTCTAAGCTTGAGCATGACCAAGGTTGAGTCTAGGAATGAGTCAGTAAGTCGTATACTGTCAAAACAAGGCCATACACACCTTTGGAGGGAGTGTACGACCGTACACATGGGTGTGCGGCCGCACACACACCTCCTGGCAGCACACTCACTTTTGACAGCGTTCACACTCCTATATAAAGGGTAGACCCCTTCCCTTTCATTCCTTTAACACCTTGGCAGCACACAACACCATTTCTCTCAAGCTTCTTCAACCACAAACCCTCCCAAGGCTTCAAAAACGTGAGTAATCCATCCCTTAACTTGTTGTGCATGAAGAACCTCTTGATCTAGGCCTTGAATCATGAAAGTCCCGTCATGTTCTTCATCTCTTTGAAGGAGTGCGACCACACACTCCTGTGTGCGGCAGCACACTCCTGTGTACGGCAGCACACTCCTGTGTGTGGCAGCACACTCCTGTGTACGGCCACACACTCCTGTGGGCGGCAGCACACTCCTGTGTGAGGTAGCACACTCCCTTGTGCAGCAGCACACACATTTGTGCGACCATACACACACACCACAGGACCACAAACCCATTTCTAAGACCCTAAACTTGTACTACAACCAAATATGGGCCTAGGACACTTCATGGATGCAAGTATGGACCTTGAAAACACCTCAAAGGCACCTTCCATCATGAGTGTACGGCCACACACCCATTGGGCCGCACACCCATGGCCGTACACATCTTTAAGGTGGCCATACACCTCCCTCATGCAATCCTTTGAGGTCCTAACACTTAGTGCAAGTAGTCCCAAGTTCTTAGAGTGGTTCTTCATCACATCTAGTGGTGAAATACCATCATTTGACTCCTTTATGTGTCATTACTTGTTGATTAGGATCAAATCGTGTTCAAGGCTTCACTTGAACATCCCGCATTCCGTATCGATCCTTCATTCAAATCACCCGAGGTGAGTTCATACCCCTACATTTTCCGTGTTTTTAATGTTTTCAGGGGGGAATACAAGCCAAACTCAAAGTATTTTGTTAAGTTATAAACTTATTAATGCAGTCCAACGATTTCCACGTTAATAACATATTCGGATATTTTATCTCTTTTTGTAATATGTTGAGCATAAGGGAAAACTTCTATTTTGGAAATCCAACTTCATAGTCTTCAGAAAGGTTTTTACAAAGCATTTTCCATATCAACTCTAATAAACTATAATGGGTATAGTTTGGGATAACCCTCTAGGCAGTCTCTACTTAATCAGATTTCATAAATGAATATGTATAAACTATGGCAGATTTAGTTTATGTTATATGCTTTCTCAGGAGTATAAAGTACATTTATTCAAGGATACTTATTGTTTTATACTGATTTCTCGCTAGTAAACTAGATTATACAAAATTGTGAGGCGCTACTTCAATACTGTACCCTTAGGTGTATAGTGATAAATCCTTTTAGTATAACCAGAGTCTCCTGGAGGGAGAGCGTGAGATTTGTGAATAGATCTATTCGGGACTGACAATCCCACACCAGAACTGCTAGCTACAGTTAGGCGGGCACGCTTGTGGTGAACAAATGTCATTTAGCTTAACGCTTGAAGAACGTTATAAAGGTCTCTCGGTCTTATCAAGTATGGTTATACGACTCGCAAATAAGTATAAACTAACTTTGTTTACGGACTCTACCCTTCATTGGTTTTATTTTGAGTAATAAAACTACTCTTATATATATACTGATAGTATTCAGGGATTTCTAAACTGGCATCTCTACCTCTACGACAGATAACATGTTTTCTAAAACTGATGGTTTATCATCTACTAATAGATACTCTTTCTAAACTACCTTTCATAAGAAAATATAGGATTTTCTTGAGGAACACTCTTCAAAGGAATCAAAGAACAATTTTTCTCTAAAACTAAATGCTTATGAACTCACCAGCTTTATGCTGATATTTTTCAAACTGCTTGTATTCTCAGGGCAACGATAGACAGGTACCTTCGCTCACTTTTGGAAAAGTCGGAGCAATAAGAGCCATGTTTTCTATATTATACACACTTTTGATGTATTTAAAACAAGTTTCAAACTGATGTAAACACTTCTCATCTTTGTATTCAATGTTTGGTTGTGTTTACTATGCTTGCTATACAAATGTTGTGATACTACGCATGACGTCCTCCACCCCGGAACAATTCCGCCATTACGGTTTCGGGGTGTGACAGATTAACATGGCGAGGGTGTTTCAATTCTCGAAGTTATAGAGAAGGATGCATTCCTCGAAAATTTGAATGTGATTTTAGGGAAGTGTTATGGTTTTATGTGTAGAAGTGGGTGATTTTAACTTGTGTAACAACTACGATATCTACACAATGTAGAAAATAAACAGTGGTTCACGATCGGTGGCCACTTTGCAACATGGTTTGCAAGTGAGTGAGGTTTTGGAGGTAGATTTCAAGTAATTTATACAAATTAGCATAATGTGTTACCTTTATTGTTGAACTTGTGAGCTGAATAGACCTGCGTTGGGTGTAAAAAAAGGGGCTATAATATTGAAGAGTGGTGATGGAAGGAGTGTTGATACCACACCAGTCAGACATACAAATAAGGTGTCTAACAATGAATGCATGCTTAATTGGTCTTATATATGTTAAAAGTTATTAAAGGAGATTACATCTTTTGTATGTGTTGTTAATGTAAACAGTTGTGAGAACAATTTAGCTGACAATGGTCTCAGACCAAAGGGCAAACGTCATAATGGTTATGATGTAGGAAAATAGAATGGATCCAGGTCTGCCTAAGCAATTGGTAGTTCCAAACAAGGAAAATTATTAGGGTGATTTAATTTGTTATGATGTTTGTGGCCATTCAGTGAGTGTATTTTTTTAACAATATAAGGAATTTATTAATTAGTTGTGGAAAACATAGTTTAAGGAAGTTAAAAATATTGATGTCAAGCCACAAAAAACTCTTCTTTTTGTAAATTTGATTAACTCAGAATCTATTGCACTCTCACAAAACTATACATAATAATGGTGATGACACTACAGGTGGGAAGCGGTGACAAAGATGGTCCAGAGGGGTGAAGAGGTAGTTGAGCGACTATGAAATAGATGGTACCGACAGGTTGAAGGGGGAGGGGAGAAGAAGTCTTGAAGATGGATGAACGATAATGATACGAAGACGAAAGCGACTACTCATATTAATGAGATTAAGTATTTTCTTCAAGTGCTTTGGGTGGTATTTGCTTCCTTGGAACTGACAAGAAGATATACACATGGTAACCAAATATCATGTTGACATAATATGACACGTCATCCTAACATCAACAAAAACCCAGAAAATCCCGGTTAACGCCATACAAGCATATGGTCACCCGAAAACCCTTAAAATGGGATAAGTGAAAAAAAAAGACTTGCAAAATGTAGGCGATACGAACCAACAAAAATTTTAAAATAAAATCGTTGACAAATCTAAAGGTCTTTTTTGTCAATATTAGGGCATGTTTGGGTTAGTTTTTTTTAGGATAAAAGTGATTTTTAAGAAAAATGCTTATTAACTTATGACTTTTAGAAAAAACTGATTTTAAAAAGTGTTTGGATAAAAAAAGCTGCTTTTTAGGAGTAAAATAACTTAAAAAGCTAGGATTTTTCAGCTTTTTTCAGCTTTACTTTTTCTATCAAAAAAACTGTTTTTAAAAGCGTTTTTTAAATACACAAACACTTTTTTAGCTTATTAGCTTTTTGAAAAACTAAAAAACTGCTCAGCTTTTTGGAAAAGGTATCAACACCCACCTAATAATCAAAACGAATTATTGAATTTGAATTAATAAACCAAAACATAGTAGCTCTTTTGGCTTTAATAATCAAAACGAATTATTGAATTTGAATTAATAAACCAAAACATAGTAGCTCTTTTGGCTTGCTAAACCCTAGAATTTGAACCCAAAAAGTTTTTGAAAACAAAAGAGAGGAAACCATGGTGGCAGGGTTAAGGCTGTTCACGGAGAGGTCGGACGATGGTTGCGCCGGTACGCCTGTTCTCGACACCGACAACGGGGAGGAGCTTATGCACGTACAGCCAAATGTCTCCATTGTTCTCGGCAACCGCCCTCCTTACTCCAGTAGCACTCTCTACATAACCACCAAGTACATCCATAGTTCTTTCCATCTCCACAATCTTACATACTCATCTGTAGCTCATCTGTCGGTCACTGATGATTATTTTTCGGATTCATTTACAGGAAAGTGGTGTGGTTGAGCGATACAGACAGGACGAAAGGCTATGCGGTTGATTTCTTATCGGTGTCGCTTCATGCGGTGTCTAGGGATCCTGAGGCATTCGAGTCTCCTTGCATCTATACTCAGGTATTGTTCCTTAAAGTATTATCGCTCTATCGTTCTAATTTATTTCTATTTTAGGGTTTAGGTTTTGGCTTTAACTTGTGTTGATTCATCTTGCAAACCAGTTACAAATGACTTATTTCTTTTTCGATGCTATTTAATTTCAATTTACTCAAGCTTGACACCGGAGATGAGGACGATGAATCAGAAAACTATCATTCAGAATCAAACGAGACATTGGATTTGTCGAAGATCAAAGAGATGAGACTTGTGCCTTCAGATCCTACTCAATGTACACTCTTCACATCTCATTTGTTTTCCAAATTCCACAATAGTTTGCTAACCTAACCGTTGATGTTCTTGGTTCATAGTGGATACTCTTTTTCGGATATTCTGTGAATGTGCAGAGTTAAATCCTGAACCCATTGAAGGTGAGATCTAAATCTCTTTATCATTTCCTTTATGATCGATCCCCTTAATGTTGCCATTAAAATACTTTCATCCTTCCACTTTCTTCAGAGGATGAACAAGAAGAAGAAGAACATAACTGGATTTTTAGTGCTGATCAGTTAGATGATTCAGAGTGGAATGACATACAGATTCCTTTCACCATTGGTTATTCAAATGGAGACCATGATCTTGCTCATAGTGTGCTTCAGGTATCCTTTTTCACTCATTCTGTCTTTATCTAAGGTTAAACTTCACTGGTTTTGTATACTTTCGTTTCCTAATTTCTCTTTTTAATTGATGTGTATAAAACTTGTTGCAGCTTCAAATTAATGACCAACGATTTGAGGATGCTGAAGAGATGGAGAATTGAAATAAATCATTAATTCTTCAATTTCAAACTCACAGTCAACACTAGAGTTAATGAGTGTTAAAAATTGCACATTTTGTTTCTATGATATAATCTTGTAATTAACATGTTATCGTGTCAAAAGTTAAGTTTTATACAAACTCAACAATTGTGTAAATATTACACTACGAAGTGTAAAATGTTTAAAAAAAAAAACACAAAATATAAAGAAGTATCATTTGGAACTTGAATGGGTCAAGGAACATATAATAACGTATAGGATGATAGTAAGTTACCCAAAGCTTGAAAGTAAACCTCACATCAAATGAAGTACAGATATATAGTTGACTTTTTCTATAAAAAACTGTTGATGAAAAACATACTTTTAACCTCGATCATTAATTAATTTATCACAAAAAAATGAAAGGCCTTTATGAACTCTTTAAGAGAAATAGCTAGACACATAAAAATATATCAAAATTATTTTAATGTCAGAACACAAAAAAATTGGATAAAAACAATCCAAGAAGAGAGCAAAATATGTCAAAATCTACCACCTTTTTCTTAATAACGTTATCGGCGTTTTACCTCATTGCAATTGCAACAATAAACTCACATATGTGCAATGATTCAAGCAACCCAGAGGCATGCAAGAAAACCATAGAGAAATTAAAGAAAGAAAAAGAGATTGATCCGAATAACACAATTCGTAAAATCATCAATTTTGGGCTTCAAAAAAGCCTGACTCTTAAAGCAAACATGACTGATTGGGTACGCCATAGAAATCTAAGAGCCAATGAACATGCTGCAATCAAGGGTTGCTTAGATGACATGGATAATGTGGTTGATGACCTACGGAAAACCCTAAAGGAGGTTGATGAATTAGCAGAGGCTCAAAAGGCACAAAAGATGCAAGTTTTTATGTTCCATAATAGAAACATTAGAACGTGGTTGAAAACCGCTATCAATAATCTTTTGTCTTGCCAAAATGATGATTTTGCAATGGAGGGATTGGAAGGTGAGGTGAAACAAGATGTGTTGAGAAGAATTCCGGATCTCATAATTGCAACTCGACTTGCGATTTGGACCATGGAATTGCCTTCTCAAGACATGAACAATGTTTAATTTTGTTTTTGTGAAAAGAAAAGAATGAATTTGGGTTAGTGAGATTTTGATTTGCATTATTGTAGTATGTGATTGTGAATTTGTATCTAAGGTCATGAATCATACGTATTATATGAGATACAAGTATTTTCTTTTGCTACTTTTATGTTGTATGCAAACTTGTATCATATGTAATTGTGAATTTGTATCTAAGGTCGTCCAATAATTTTTATCATGAACTTTTGAGTCATCAGAGAAGGGTTTTATATATAAAAGTCTTGGTATTTTGAGAAATTTTTTAATAAAGTCGTAAAAGTTTATTTATTTATTTTTATTTTTTAACAGAAAAGTCTCGATTATTTAACATTTTGCCCAAATTAACGAAAAAAAACCATTTTTATATTTTAACAAGAAATGTCAGATTATATGATTTTTCTCAAAATAATGAGATTTTTCTGTTAAAAAAAAATCTTTTAGGACTTTATCAAAATTTTTTTCCAAAATAATGAGATTTTCCACATAAAAACCCCATAGAGAACTAAGAAAATGTTTGGGGCCTAATTTTATTCTTTATATAATAGGCTAAACACGGATGAAGCATTGGATCTCATGGCTCATGCTATAAACTTTATCCAATATTTTCAATTTAACATCATCAAATAGCGATGAACAAAATCAATCTTACATCGATACCTAGTGGTCGGGTCTTGAACAATCTTTTCATGTCTGGTTTCTATCTAGACCGGTTTGGTTCAATGGTCTTCGCAGTTGCCAGATCGTGCAAGAATATTAAACTTAAAAATCAATCTAATTTTAGTTTTTTTTCGGTCGTCTTATTTCATAATATCCATATAAAATCTTTGGTATTCCGTTAATATAAAAAACATACAAATTGTTTCATAACATTTGATAAGTTATAAAACATAATCATATCATCAAAACTTATCTGGAAGGAAATTTCAGTAATTGTAGTTGTTCATCTTTTCATCGGGGTGGGATTGGACAATGTACTTGCCTGCCTATCTAGGTAGTTTGGATTTCTTTCTTTAGTGTCGGCAATAAAGTGTTCTCCGGTTTCTTCAACATTAATTTTAGTATATGACGGCACTTCCGCAAACATTCTTTCCATTTTGTCTTTCAAAATCTCTTGTTCCATGTGTGTTCTCTCCATCGAATCATAATAGTCTTCAAGCATCATAGACATTTGCATTGATTCATATGCCAACATACATCTTCTTGTACTTAATAGGTTGCAACTATGAGAAAAACAACATTATGAAGCTACAATATTATCTTGAACCATTAGTACATACATAACCATTGTGGTTAAAACTCTATATTAATGAACATTTTCTCTTTTTGCCACGAGTTTAAAATCTCAAAGTTTTCAGTTTTTTTGGAAGTTATATTACAAGCGTAATTGACAGCTTTATAAGTTTAAAGTTCTTCTACATCCGATTAAATTCTTGAACGTTTTGATTGAAAAATATTGGTAACCATTCTTAAGTGATGTAAAAAAATAACTAGTTCAATTACTTGGTGTCATCTAGAAAGAAGGTCGTGATTCATGACTTTTTTCTCGACTCGTGTACTCATCGTCATATATGTTTTATAATACGGAATATAATGTTTAGAACTCGCTATATTTCGTTCTATTTTAGTTTTATTTTGACTAAACAATTTATTAATAGTACTTGTACTTTGGATTGCATTTTTTATAATTTACAAGTGGATTTAATGCCAAATAAATCATAAAAATTTGGGAATGTTTCATTATTATTTTATAAGTGTTATTTTCATTTAAGTAGTCATACACTCTCATTAGTCATCTAAATACCAAAATCTCATAAGTGTTTTAGTTATTTCACAAATCCTTCTCAAAACAATGTTACTTGTTGGAAAATAAGTTTGTGTGTAACGTCCCAAAAATACTGAGTAAAATTTTCATTTTAAATAAATCAAAACCCTTCTTTCATTATTTCAAAAGACAAACAGAGTAAAAATATTCTCAAAACATCAAAGAAAAATCATAAATAATCGATGAAGAATAAATCTCCAGGGGATGCAATGCGATCAAGCCAGACTCTTCCTTTTGAAACGGGAAGTACCTGAAAATGCTCAAACCACAAAATCGTAAGCACAAAGCTTAGTGAATTCCCCAAAATACCACATATCATACTAATCAGTGGGCCCAACCCTGGGGTATATTCTAACCCAACATATAATCATGGACCTAGCCCTGGGGTATGTTTAACCCGAACATACAATAATGGGCCCAACCCTGAAGTTTATTTCGACCCGAACATACAATAATGGACCCAACCCTAGGGTTTATTTCAACCCGAACATACAATATTAGGCCCAACCCTAGGTTTTATTTCAACCCTATCATACAATAATGGGCCCAACCTTGGGGTGTATTTCAACCTAATCATACATGCAAGAGTCACAAAAACAACTCGCATTCTACGTAATACAATCCAATGGGCCGACATTGGTGCCTTCGACCCACAAGTACAGTGAGAAGACTCACCTGAACTACTCAACATAAGTCCAACAACTACCTCAACATCAGAACAGTCAACCCAAGCTTCCTAAAACCAAACTGAGACCGGCCCATAGTCAAAAACTCAACTCTACCCAAGTTTGACAAAAAAGTCAAACTGGTCAAAAAGTCAACAGCCAAAAGTCAACGGTCAAAGTTGACTTCAGTCGACTGCCACGTCGTGGTTATCCATGACCACGTCGTGGCCTACAAATGACAAAACATACGATAAATCCCTAGTCGCCACGTCGTGTCAACCTAAGGCCATGTCGTGGTCTTTAGTTTGAAAAGCTTTTCTTCAGTAAGAGCTTAAACCATTAGGACCAATGCTAAAATCATCAGATCTAATTCCTAATAGCTTCATAATGGATAAAGTTTCCAACTTTATCCATTAGGAAGGTCCAAACCACCAAGATCTAGACTTTAAGTCTCAAAAGGGGCCATGAATGCATCTTTCTCAGCTTAATCCATTAAGTCCAAGTCTCCAACCTTCAAATCTGAATCAACATGATGTTTAGATGGATAAAGTTTCCAACTTTATCTATAATAATGTCTCAATCTTTCAAGATCTAAACTGTAATACACCAAAATGACCTAAAGGACCAAGATAACTAGCATTACTAAAAGGGAAGGCAAAAGATCATAACTTTCCTAATTCATGAGGTCTAAGAAGCATTCCAAACTGATAAAAATATGTTGGAGTCCACTCAAGTCCAAGATCACTCATAAAATGGACCAAAAGTGCCAAAAACCACAAATGAAGAGATCTAAAGAACTAAAGAGCAAGATTGGAACTTTATACTCATAATATTCCAGAAATGTAGTGCATTTGATAAATCCAAACTTGAAGCATCATTCCTTGCAACCAAAATAACCTTCTTGATCTTTAAGCTTCATCAAAATATCATAAAAAGCATCCAAAAGAGGAGAGAGTGGAGTTGAGGAGCTCAAATCTTGAAGGCGGAGGCTAGGGTTTCTCCCAAGGGGTTCTAGAGGTGATGGAGGCTAAGAAAATACCCTAAAACATGAATCCTTACCTTTTAATACCTTGACAACCCTAAAAGTTCGTGGGCTTAGGCTGTACAATTCTCACCTCGTGAGCATATACTTCCCATCTCTTGAGAACAGGCTCTTCATGTTGTGAGAATATACTTCTCACTTTGTGAGAACGAGTTTTCACCCAATTCCATTCCAACTTCAAACAAGCATAACTTCTTCGTTTCTACTTCGTTTTATGCTATCTTTATATGCACGGAAAGGCATCGATGAGCCCCACAATCTTATCTAATTACTTTTGACTTAATACATGTCGAACTAAAACCATAATCCATGCAAGAAGTCCGGAATATTACTTCTCCCATTTTACACTTTTTCTTCAAAGCACAATTCCAAGACTTTAATCACTTAACCAACATTATCAACATCCAATAAAGTCTAAGCCTTATTCCCTTGAAGCCCAATGCCTTTACTCAATCCATTTATTGTCCACAATCCCGAAATAAAAAACTTCTCGAAACAGGAGGTTACATTGTGATATCATCACTACCTGAGATATAGTACTCCTACAACAACATGTAATTCTTTTAGATGAGTTTGATTGATCAAAATGTCATATTAAGGATCATGAGGAAGGTGTTCTATATGATGTTCTTGTCACACCCCAAAACCGGAACGGCGGAAACGTTCGGGGGCGGAGGACGTCATGTACAGTGTCATAACAATGCACAATAGTAAAACAAGCAACACCATCCATTGCATTAATAGAATAGTTAATACAAGTGTGTTCTTTAAGTAGTTGTAAGACACCAAAATGTAACATCAAAATAAAATACGAGTCTTGAACATGCTCCGTCTTCTCAAAACCTGGTCCAGCGTACCTGTCTACTGGTTCCCTGAGAATACAAGTTATTTTGAAAGAAAGTATCAACATTTAATGTCGGTGAGTTCATAAGTATTTAGTGTCAAAGGTTTGCATTTGTTTCTTGAAAGTGTTTGAATTGTTTTGTAAAATGTTTGTATTTGTTTGTATACTTCCCAGAAAATCCTATATTTTCTCCTTTAAATGAAAAGTAGCCTTCTACCAAGACCGATCTGTTTGTATGCTTTGTTCTCTTGAAAATGATATAAAGTGTATGTTTGTACTTGAAATAGTATAAAATGTATGTTTTCCATATTAATAAACTATATTTACTAGAAAAATAGTATGTAGTCCTCATGTGAGGAATTCACTGTATGAATGAAATGGAAAATGAAGATGTATAGTAGTTTTGTATAAAATACGCTACTGATGCATTAACTACCTTGAAACCAAACTGGTTAATTAATGTTAAAATGTGATGAGGTTATAATCATACTTGATTGACTTAGTATAAAACACGATGTTCTTCAGGCGTCGAAAATGATATGACATTTGTCACCCGTAGACCTACAGGTCCCACTGTAGCTAGCAGCAAGGTGTAGGATGGTTAATCCCGTA